GTTGGTACAGGTTATTGTTCTTGTGTTGTTGGTAGGGGTTATTGTTATTCATATCTCGATTACCATATACTTTCTTTTAACTAGCATCTCTTATTTGACAAAATACAATTGTGATCTTATGGATTTTTCTCTTCTTACAGTCAATCAGGTTTTCTCTATTCCTTTGAGTGCTTTATCTTCTGAAATAGTTGAGATTTTAAGATTAATTTTAACAGGAGTAACACAAAATTTATGAAAAAATTAAACAAAATGGATTCAAGATTACAAACAATTGTACCAAGAATTGGTCAGGCTCCTCGGTCTCGCACTCCCGGTCGGGTCGACCTGGTGGTGTGGTCGCGGGTTCAAGACGAACTTGGGACTTGAGATCGCTCTCTCAGGAACCGCGTAGAGAGGACGCGGGCAGGAATACCAACTAATGAGAGAGGAATTTGGGTCGTGCGGCGGGATTTACCTCACGTGGGCCCGTGATACGCTTTGACTAGCTCGCGTGGGCGCCATCTTAGTTCACGAAGAAAGCCCCCCAAGTCTGAGATTGGTTTGGGCTCGTCTCCCTTGGCCTCCTTTCTTCCTTCCTGCGACCACACACACACATAAGAATATCCAGACAAGTGGGTTAAGGGACCCGGGCTTGTCTAGGTGCGGGTGTATGCATACACGCACGTCTGAGAGGAAAAGTGCAAAGATGATGGAGACAAATGGTGGGAGGTGTCATCGGTTCCTTATCAATCTGGCAGCCTTACGACGCCTTCTTAGCAAGAAACCCATGACGTTTTGAGTACATGGAGGAAAGAGTAAAGATAGATGAAGATAAGGGAGAAGAGGGAGAGCTATAGAAGAAGAAAGGAAGATTAGAGAAGAGAGATAGGAGATAAAAGATGAAGAGGGAGAAAGAAAATCAAAGATAAAGAGAGAATAGAAAGTGAGAATGAGGAGTGAGAGGAGAAGAAGAGAATAGAGAGGATATAAAATAGAGAGAAGAGAGAATATGAGGGTAAAGGACAGATATGGACGTTGGTTTGTGCTGCCGTCCGGGGGAAGGGAGATAAATGAAGAAGAGATACAAGTGGTGGCTCATGCTGTATTCTGGGGTAGTGATAAAGGAGAGAGAGGAGGAGGTAACATGGTAGAGAGGAAGAGAAGGAAGGGGAAAGAGCGAGAAGGAAAGAACTAGGGGAAAAGGAGAAATGAAAGAGAAACATAGACGACAGTTTACGTTGCCATCCAGGGGAGAGAAGAGAGAGAAGGAAGAAGGCATAAAAGAGAAGAAGAGGGAATAGGTGAAAGAAAGGATGTGGACGATGGCTTGTACTGTTGTCTGGGGAAGGGATGAAAGAAGAGGAGGGGGAGAGAGGAGAGAGGAAGTGAGAAAGTAAGGAGAAGAGGAGAGGGGATAGAAGGGTAGATGGAGAAAAGGGAGATAGAGGAGGGGAAGAGAGAGAAAGAGGAGAAAGAAGAAAGAGGAAAGAGAGAAAAGAAGGGAGAGAAGAAAGAGAAAGAGAGGAGAGAGAAAGAGGGAAAGAGGAGAGAGAAGAAAGGGAAAGAGAGGATAGAAAAAGAGGAGAGAGGGAGGAATAGAGAGAAAGAGGAGAGCGATAGAAAAGAAAGGAGAGAGGAAGAAGGAAAGAGGAGAGAAGAGAAGAAAGGGAAAGAGAGGAGAGAGGGAAAGAGCAGAGAAGAAAAAGAGGAGAGAAAGAAGAGAAGGAAAGAGGAAAGAGGGAGGAAGAGAGGGAAACAGGAGAGAGAAAAAAGAGAAAGAGAGGAGAGAGAGGGGAAGGAGAGAGAAAAGAGAAAGCAGGAGAGAGGAGAAAGAGAAAGAGAGAAGAGGAAAGAGGGAACGAGAGAGAAAAAAGGGAAAGAAAAGAGGAGGGAAAGAGAGAAGAAAAGGAAGAATGAGGAGAGAAGAAAGAGAGAGGGGAGAGAGAAATAGGGAAAAGAGCGAGAGAAGAAAGAGAAAGAGAGGACAAGGAGAGAGAAGAAAGAGAGGAGAGAGGAAGGAGTGAAAGAGAAGAAGAGGAATAAGGGAACAAAGGGAGGGAAAAAAGGGAAAGAGAAGAGAGAGAGGAGAGGGAAAGAGAGAAGAAAAGGACGAATGAGGAGAGAGAAGAAAGAGAGAGGGGAGAGAGAAGAAGGGAAAAGAGGGAGAGAGAAAAAGAGAAAGAGAGAAGAAAGAGAGGGGAGAGAGAAAAGAAGAGGGAAAGAAGAGAGAGGAAGAATGCGAGATAGAAAGAGTGAGAGAGGAGAGAGAAGAAAGAGAAAGAGAGGAGAGAGAAAAGAAAGAGAAAGAGAGAAGAAGAGGAAGAGGGAGAGAAGAAAGAGAAAGAGAAAGAGAGAAGAAGAGGGAGAGGGAGAGAAGAAAGAGAAAGAGAGGAGAGTGAGAGGAGAGGAGAGGAGAGAGGGAAAGAGGGAAGCAAGAGAGAGAAGAAAGAGAAAGAGAGGAGAGAGGGCAAGAGGAGAGAGAGCGGGAAGGCGAAGCGACGGTTGAGGTTTGCCGTTTCAGGAAAAGGATCAGATTGCTGTTCGGTGGAGAGAAAGAAGAGGAGTGAGAAAAAGAAGAAAGGGAGAGTGGAGAGAAGAAAGAGGAAGGGAGGAGAGAGAGAGGAAGAGGGAAAAAGGAGAGAAAAAATGAAGAGAGAGACGAAAGACGAAGAGAGAAGGAGAGAATGAAGCGACGGTGGAGATCTGCCACTCTGGGAAAAAGCTTAAACTGCCATTCGGGAAGGAAAAGGAGAAGGAGAGGGAAAGCAAAGTGATGGTTGAGGCCTGCCACTTCGGGAAAAGGCTCAAACCGCCGTTCGGTGGAGAGAGAGAGAGAGAGAGAGAGGAGTGAGAAGGAGGAGGAGAGAGAAGAAAGAGGAGAGAGGAAGAATGAGGAGAGAAAGAGTGAGAGAGGAGAGAGGAGGAGAAAGAGAAAGAAGAAAGAGGAGAATGAGGGGCTTACATTTGGGAAGAGAGAAAGTTACATAGTGGGTCTTGGCTCGGCGGCTAAGACTAGGGGTTGTGGGCCAAAATATTCTCTCTCTAAAGAACAAAACGAAATTAACTGCAACGAGGGGGGATTCTTTACTAGAAGCAATCGAGAGTTACAATAAAAGATCAAGAGATGATCCTTGAGCTAAGAGCCTCTCTGAGAGATCAAAAGAAGAACCTTGAGTTATTACATGCTGGGTATTTATAGGCAACCATGGGAAACATGGATGGCTGCCCAAAAACTAACCTAATTGCTGAAAAATACATTTTTTGCTGAGTTAAATAAAGAGTAATGATCCTATGAGATCCTCCCACACTGTAGGACTCCAAAGGATCACCATTAAATTTAGCATAGATATCTAGAAAAGTTATCACATGGGTGTGGGACTTGATTTTCTTAGAGATCTGTGTCAAATTTAATAGTGATCCTTTGGGGTCCTACACACAAGTGTGTGGGAGGGTCTCATCGGATCATTACTCTTAAATAAATGCTAAAAGTGGGGGCAAAATAATGATTTTGCCCCTTGCCCGTAACAAGCTGAGCAATCCCAGATGAGTCCTTGCCATGGCCATGAGTTCCCGTGAACCTCTTGTGGCTGTCATGGGATCCTTCCGGCCAAAATAGTATCAGTAACTTGGAGAGCTCAGTGAGATGATCATTTCGATATAAGTTTGAAGCCATGAATCAAGGTCTTCGACGGCTAACTCTGAGCGGCAGAATAGTGAGGATCTTGAGGGTTTTGGATCCAAGATCTCTCTTGTTCACTGATTGTTTTCCTCGGTTTCTTTGTTGAAGATTGACGAGCAAGTCGTCCTGAACATTTTGCAACAAGAATGGCTCAATTTGGTGTCCGAATGATCCTTTTCTCAATTTGGGGATTTTGGCTGGAATTGGGATTCCGATAGCCGGAAATTGCCTTTTCTTTGTCCTTGAAATACGAAGAATCTGACCGTTCATCATGCGCAAGGTTTGGCCTGAATGGAGTTCTTGACCTTGGGGTCGTGATGCATCCGTTCTTAGGCCGATCAAGTTCGCAGGCGTCATGATCCGGTCATTTGATCAAAGGGACTTTCTTCTTCAAATTTCCGGCAACTTTTACTTTGTCCATGGTGATCTTCTTTCTTCGATTTCTCTCAGCTCAGGCTACGCCATATGTCAAAACAGTCGGGCCAACGAGATGAACATCTTCCCAAAGTTAGGGCTTATTTCGTCTCGGGATGAGGGAGATACGATCATGGAAAGTTCAGCCCGAAATTGGAAAGCACAATTTCCATAAGTGGAAGCTGGTTCTCCGAGGGTGCACCATGATTGCGTGTGACCTATCCATTTTTGGTAAGTCGGCCACAGGTTGGTCCAGGAGTGTCCGAATGGCCCGAAATTTGGTACCCGGGGGTTTTCGAACCTTCTGAATCCAACGAACGTGATCTGATAGTCGTTTGAAGCTCAGAAAATAGGGCTGTAGTTGCAGGGTCTCTTTTTAGTATGATAGAGGCAAAATTCGGAAAACGGATTTAGCATCTGATCCACCTTAATGTCGTCGGATTGTGACAAGACTTAGCGGGTTTTCTTAACTCTTAAGGGACCCTTAGCCATGTCTTGGGGCCATTCTGGGACCATCATGGATTACACTCAGCATAAGGGCTTATTGGCCTACTGCTTCCATAGTCCACAGGCATTCTGGGTTGCTGTGGTCTTGGGTTGCATACTGCTCTCTCTTTATGTGGATCGGGGATAACAAGTGTCGGAAAATACACTTCAACAAGGATAACATAAAGTTGTCTTTTACTTGTTTACTATTAGCGAGCTTATAGAAGAGGTGATTGTTGGGGTTGATTTACTGTTTCTTAGTTTTAAAATATATCTATCATGTATCTAGATGCTACTACTGTATTTAAATTTACACTTTCAGATTGACTGTTGCTTTAATGTCCCTTTTGTACAATTATTTATTAATTTTATTGTTTCTATAAATTTTGAATCATCAGCTGCCAGAAATGTTTTATAATATTCTGATAATCCTTTTGCATAGGTTTCCATGTGGATGATTCAGAAGTTACTTTGAATGTTTGCTTGGGAAAGCAATTTTCTGGCGGTGACTTATTTTTTCGAGGCATTCGTTGCGATAATCATGTCAATTCTGAACCATATCCTGAGGTAAATAGTAGGAATGTCATTGCTAGTGCAGAGTACTTATGATTCATTTCTTGTATTTTGTGCAATACATTTGTCATTTTTTTTAAGGACTAATCTAACTTGTGCAATTTGTTTTTCATAGTGCCAATGTGCCATAAATGTGGTACCTAAAATGATCATTTGTAAATTACCACCATGTGATTTGCTTCCATTGATGCTATTGTCAATGCTTGCTGTATTAGCATTAGTTTGTTGTCTGCTGCATACCACATATATACTTGATTACCTCAACTTAGGTCATATTGCCTGATTGGCAATGACATTTTGCAATCCAAAATGGAATTATTTATTGCTGTTACTATTTAGAACTTCTATTAATTTTACATCGACCTATATAAGTTGAGAGAAAAATACCCATGTGATGATAGTCTCTCTTTGGTTTTTTATGACAAAATAATAATGAGAAAAGGGTCAAAGACCAATGAGCTTATAGATTTAGTAGATGGTTGCCCCTTCCCATCTCTTGGCTAATGACAAATTGGTGAATTACCAGACTAATGATAGTGCATCTCTTTATGGCCCCAGCTAATCACGAGTGATACTACATCTATGGCAAACTAATGAATTACCTCCCACAATCTATGGGCATGCAAAAAAGGAGGAGATCCTAAGCTTTGTTAGAAGTTTTGTTGTTATTGCCTCCCTAGAATTGAAAAAATCAGTTGGACCCTTGCAGGTCTTAAGAAAGACTAAGGATGTCTCAAATTTGTCCAACGACTTTGTTCTTCCAAGAGGCACCCTCGTAATCGACTTCTATGAAACCTTCTGGTGGCTTGGCCTACAATTCCATCAGTTTCGTGCAGGGTGTGGAACCATCACCAACTATCTGCCCTTTAAAGGACTAGGTCCTGACCTCTGAAATTCGATACTCTTTGAGATGAAGGGTGTAAAACTTTATCAAAGGAGAGGAGAAGAGAAGATAGAGGAGAGGAAGAGTGGCGTGGAAGATAAGGCAGGTTGGGTCGTTCCACTCAACTGATGTGCAGACCCGTATAAATTGATATGTACTCTTCTACCCTCATGCATGAGAAACTATAATGAGGAACATGACATAAGGGCCCCCTGTGATACCTGGCCTCAATTACTATTGGAGCCCATCCGAAAATTTAGCCCCTAGAAATGAGCTTAGCATGCCATTTGATTTTCATTATATAAAAACTTCTCATTAGCAAATTAACTCCAAATCACAATCATTAATGAAACAAGTGAAACTTGTTTTGACATTTATTGGTGAACGATGTCTAAAGTAGGAAAAGGTTGAGCGTGAAGTCAAGTTCTCCAGCCACCTTGCTGCATCTCTCTCTACAAAACCAGCTTCCAAGTTCCAACCTACCCAGATCTCTCTCTCTCTATCGCCCAAGACAAACCCATCTCTCTTTTCCCCCTAGTTAGAACTTTCTCTCTATCCCCAAGAGAAACCTCTCTCTCTCTCTCTCTC